GGAGGGACATATTAAGGTTCTCGGGTGTGTTTTTCCTTTTGTGCCCTTGTTATAATTTCAAATATTCAGCGTCAAATCTATAGGGAATCAACTGTATTTATCTGTGAGAACTTTTATATTTGTGCCAAAAGGGCATAAAAACACACAAAGGGAAGAAAAAACGAGACTCTGCGGTAAAATCTGTAAATGAAAGAGGATAATTACATCAAGTCGCTGTGAATAGAAAAGATGCATTCTTATATCAACACATTGTACTTACTTTGTATAAAGGACCTTGTTAGCATAGCATTGTTTTACACACATTGCTCAAGGTGTAAAGTGGAGGTGAGAGTAATGGTTTGAATACCAAACATGAATACTAAGAATACACAAATACATAGAAGATGTATAAATAATGTTTTACAAGAGGATAAAAAAGGACGACCAACTCGACTGAACATGTGGACACTGCTTTTAACCCGTGGGGCGCCCCAGGGTTCAATCCTTGGACTTTTTTGATTATTCATGCTTTAATCTATCAATATGCTTGTGGCATGTTTTGTATTTGTTATTTCTTTGTGACTGATGTGTTGTTACATCAGACCATCTTGAAAAATGTTGTTTGTTTTTTTGGAGAAAGGGGCACATAATATAAGTTTGTCTTCTTTGTGCTCCTTTTCAATTGTCTGACGACTAGTATTATTTTATGTAAACATGTAAAAATGAAAGAATATTCAGAACAATTGAAATAAATAAAAATGAAATGAAATGAAATATGATTTCAATCAGTCACTTGTTTTTAAAGAAATTTGCTTTATTTGCTTTCTTATTTACTGTGAAGGCAGACCATAAAAACGCTGCCAACTCAAAACCAATCTTTTGAAAATGAACAGTATTCAACTAAAAATGTAAAATTTTAATTTTATTTGCAAATTGAATGTATTTATATTTAAAAAAATATATATTCAAGTATGTCAAAGTGAGTTTTGTATTATTGTATGTCATACCTCTAGAAGGGGGCATCTCTGAGTCGGCCATTTTGTGGTCTTGGACCACACCTTAGTGGGCGGGGCCACAATGTTAAAGGACCCTCAGGTGAACCTCGTCATGGAGACACACCTGAGAGAAGAAAGGACAAACAAAAGACAAATGCTGCGTGACAATTGATTTATTTTAAGTGTTTGGATATGTTTATATTTTGAATCTGTCTTTCATTTTCTCTCTACAGAAGAGATTATTTATTCGTCCAACAGTGGGGGAATTTCAGTGTTGCGTCACAATAGGAATTAAGAGAACAAAGTAAAAGACAAATAACTCTATTCTAAAAATAAGAATCAAGTATAACAGCTCTAACTTTAGCATAATAAAGAAGCTTAAATAAAAACTTAAAGGCGCAGTAAGTGATGTTGTTAGCTTAGCCGTAGCACCAACTCCAAACCACTCCCCCTCCCTCTCCACCAAACCAAACATCTTGCATTTTCTTTTTTCTGTCACAGGGAGAGTGGAGCAAACGTGAAATTGGCCTTTTCTGTTCAGCCATTTTTGGTTTTGGAAAATCCAATAACTCAGCTGCACTCGCGAGAAACAGGAAGAGGGTGAAGGGGGTAAACACATCCCATTGGTTCATTTTTATCAGTCCGCTCCAAAATATTTGTTAATTTTTGGAGACTATAGGCATCTGGTCAATTCCATTACTATTTAAAAACACATGATGACTTGATACTTTTAGGGTTTAGGGACGTCTTCCCTCAATATTTTAAAAAATGCGTCTGCAAAAAAACACTGACTGTATCTTTAATAAAGAAGTAAGCATAACTAATCAGATATGAAAGCTCACCGTAAGAATAAATACAGCCTGTCCGTCCTTTCCCCAGGTTAATACGCTCATGTGTGCAGCTTCTGAACGGCTTTATTACCGTGTGACATCATCACCACTGAAGCTGAGCCGAGGCCAGTAGCTAACGACAACACGGCCTTGCATCTCATCTGAGAATTCACCTTCTCAAAACAACTCCACGTCCAATTAAGGAGATTACTCTTGTCCCGTGTGCCCGCCGGGTGAATCAGCAGGTAGCAGCGTGCCTCAGTCAAATCAAACCTCCCACAATGCACTGCTGCACCAGACACATACATCCGACTGTGCAAACGGCGGCGATCTCGTTTGTCAGGCGGCGTGACGGCGACGTGAAGTGACAAGCACGTTCAAAAGACAACCCAGCGCTCGCTAACAGTAATCAAATATGTCAGATCCATTTTAGCTGCTGCTCCTCTGCCGCTAACATGTTTGTCTCCCAATGGTGTCCAAATTGAACCCAATCTCCCCGGACGATAATTGGTTCTTTAACGTCTAATGACAAGTTCCCCGCCGCGGATAATAAGTCGTCATAATTATCAAAGCAGTGAAGACACGAATGGATTTAATTGCAAAACATCAAGGGACAGTTTCACAAAGATATTTATTGTATTTACCAGAAAGCTTTTCTTTTATACATAAACATGAGAATGACTGATGAAAGAAGGATAAGATTACCTTTTTTTGTCCATTCATTGCAAGTTTAAATAATCATAACATAACATCAAAAAATACAAGAAATAATATATATGGCCAATTGTATAAGCACCATACAGCAGGCTCGTGGAGAACGACGGCAGTAAAAAGCCTTTAAAGGACTAATAAACCTTGACCTTTTGAATGTTTTTATGTTTACAACCATCAACATACACATGGTATATCTATGCTTTACTGAAAGTCCTGGTTCAAAGACTGGTTCAAACCAGTGTGGGCGGGTCCTGGCTCAAAAGAGGCCAAAATGACGTGCGCTGACATGCTGCAATACCACCCCGGGCCAATGGGGGTGGACCCGGAATAAGAATTAGCCAATGCTAACATATAGCGTTATCTGACCTCTCAAAAACGTCTTTACAGGATGGTCCAAAAGTTGGCTCTTGGCCCAAAGCTCCGTTTCACATGTGTGTCAATGCTGAGGGGGGTGAATTTTTTTGGACCAGTCTAGTTTAGTCTCTGTGAGTTTTTGAAGTCCATCCATCCATCCATTATCTTCCCTTTAATCCATTTCTGGGTCAGGGGGGTGGCAGTCAGAGATGCCACCCAAGTCTCATAGCACCAGCCCCTCACTGACCCTCTGCAGGTGGTGAGTCCACAGGAGGACGGCTGCTCTCTGAGTGTGAGCATAGCCTTTATCTTTCAGTGGGGGCTTTGGGCAAAGTGGGGTTAAGTATCTTGCCCAAGGACACAACGACAGCAGTCATCAGTGGGAGTCGGTGGAGAAGGTGCAGAGGTGGGAATTGAACCCACGACCTTCAGGCCTGAAGGCCAATGCTCTACCAACTGAGCTACTGTCGCCCTTTGAAGTTTTTGAAGTCACTGAATGGGGCTCGAACGCTTGAACGCACTGGACCATAAAAGCCCCAGTCAACACCATCCATTCACTCTCTCATTTACATTCATACCTATTGTGCATGTTTTTAGTGGTAGGGGAAACCGGAGCACCCGGAGGAAACCTACGCAGTGATTCTAACCCAGGACCTTCTTGCTGAGACACCCACTCATCCCCCGTGCCACCCACTGTATTCTCACCTCCAATGCATGGACCTTCATTGATGGAGGCACGGACGCTCTATAAGTATCAGCTGCATGAGTTTAGCCAATCTGTCGTACTGCCTTACGTCGGGGAAAAACGCAAGGTGTAAGTGGTGGGCGGAGCTTTGATGTTTAAGAACCGGTAATTCTGTTCTATCTGCGGACACATTGGCTAAATAAGTGCTGCTAATGTGTCCGCAGATAGAACAGAATTACAGTTTTTTGAACTTGCTAGCATCAAAGCCCCACCACTTCCACCTTGCGTTCTTCCCCAACTGTTGTAGACTTAAAATGTTGTATACTAATGATTATCATGAGGTGTTTGCATAACATGTCTTTGTGCAATATTAAGCCTAGATTTAGTGGAATTCAGAGAAGCACCAAGGACAAGGCTTCTGTGATAAAAGTATCATTTTCAGGAACTCTTATCGGAACAAGGCCTGAGACACAAAACTGGACTAGGCCAGACTGGGACCAGGACTTCAGTCTGCCTCAGACCATATGACGTCATCGGACATTTTGATAAAACTGTTGGTAGGACATTTTGTTAAGAGTCTGAGCAGGGATAGATAGACAGAGAACATCGCAGAGCGCCTGGATGTTCTCTGCACATTTTCAGGCCTGGAGGGATAGTTATAATTGCTCAGCACAGGGATAGTTTTAGGGAATTAATAGCTCCAAGAGTTTTGTATCAATAATTAAATGTAAAGAGAAATAAATGTTCTATTTTTAACTCATTGCATTCTTGGCCTTATTTCTGTATCAATTTCTGAACACGTCAGTCAAATCTTTTTTGACAACACCCAACGCAGGGCAGTATGACAGATTGGGTAAATAAGTGTTGCTAATCTGTCGTACTGCCCTGCGTTGGAAAAAAACGCAAGGTGGAAGTGGTGGGCGGGGCTTTGATGCTAGCATGTTGAAAAACCGGTAATTCTGTTCTATCTGCGGAGACATTAGCAGCACTTATTTAGCCAATCTGTCGTACTGCCTTGCGTCGGGGAAAAACGCAAGGTGGAAGTGGTGGGCGGGGCTTTGATGGTAATTTGCTAGTTTAATAACCAGTACTTTGGTGCAATCGGCGAACACGTTAGCAGCACTTGTCAACAGTCACGGTGGAATGGACTCAGGGTGGACACATAATCACAATCTCTGACCCACCAGAAAAACCCACCTGAGCCAAGTCGTTGGACCTTGAGGCAAGACACACAAGGCAACCCCAAAGCAACACAATCAGTAATGTTGAAAATAATGTGTCAAATTCTGTTGCAGATTTGTGTCTTGGAGTTTTTCCCCCCAAAAAACACAGAAACATACCTGGAAAACGGTGGATAAAAGTCATTTATTGACAATTTCCAAATGTAATTGCAGAGAATCAGCGGAGCCCTGGCCCAAAAGTAGTTACTGAGATCAAAACGATTCATTCCCTTCTCCTCTCGCTCGGCTCGTGCTGGATCGATACTCCGGAGAGCTGCATCAGGCAAAACTAATCGTGGAGTTGGAGGTCAGACAGTTCACCTATTCTTTAAAGTGCTCTCAATGTGCTTCTGGTTTCTTCTTTTTCTTCACAAAAGAGGGGCCAAAACACAATGTAGTCAAAAGGCTGCCTCTGCTGTGTCAGTGGATTGTAAAGGATAGGACCAGGCTTAGGCCAAAAGGATTTAAAAGTTATTTGACATTTTACAGCAGGTGGTGGCTTAGAGCGGTAAGCACGGGCAGCTCACAGGCAGTATTTTCTCTCGGGAGTTTGATTGCTCTCCCAAGACTCATTTTCGCTTATTACAAAGTCGCATGGATAGTTGGAGACAGTGGGTTGGATGGAGAGGAGAACGGCTTCCTCCTAATGCATGCGGCTGCAGACTCTGCGCTACGATTTGACAGGGATTTATTCGGCACGTCTCTCCGGAGTGAGTCTGGGAATGTCACAGTGAGCGCCTGACAAGTGACCGCAGCGGTGCATTGTGGGACATGTGCTACATCCAAATGTCAGTGTCGGCTTCCCGTACATTTCCCAAAACAATAGCTAAATCCGCGAAAGAAATGGATAAATACTGATGACATAGAAATAAGTAGAGATTATATTAAGATAGATGGATTGATAGATGCAGATTATATATAGATATGATATAAGGATAGATTGATACAGATGATGTCAAGAAAGACAGAGATTATATACAGATAGATGGCTATACACAGTAGGTTATATAAAGATAGATGGATAAATACGGACTATATAAAGGTATAAAGGCATAGATTATATAAAGATAGATATACAGATTATGTACAGAAAGATAGATAGATATACAGATTATCTACAGATAGATGGATAGATATACAGATTATGTACAGATAGATAGATTATATACAGATAGATAGATAGATATACAGATTATTTACAGATAGATATACAGATTATGTACAGATAGATGGATAGATATACAGATTATGTACGTGCGGCTGCGCAGCTGTGAGTCTGAGGTGGTAGTCTGCAGCACTGGGGCCCCTCAGGGCACTGTCCTCTCACCGTTTCTCTTCACCATCTACACCTCAGACTTCACACACGACACACACAGCTGTCACCTGCAGAAGTTCTCCGACGACTCCGACATCGTGGGCTGTGTGTCTGAGAGGAACGAACTGGAATATCGGTCGGTTATCAAGGACTTTGTCGACTGGTGTGAGCGCAACCACTTGTGCTTGAACACCAGTAAGACCAAGGAGATGATCATCGACTTCAGGAGAAAACCACTTTCCCACACGCTGCTGAACATCCAGGGGGAGGACATTGAGCTGGTGGACAGCTTCAAGTACCTGGGTGTTCACATTAACAATAAACTGGACTGTGGCTTTGGCTAGCACCCTCCTGTCCCTCACCTCCTCCACAGAGTCCAGGGGCCTCCTGTCCCTCACCTCCTCCACAGAGTCCAGGGGCCTCCTGTCCCTCACCTCCTCCACAGAGTCCAGGGGCCTCCTGTCCCTCACCTCCTCCACAGAGTCCAGGGGCCTCCTGTCCCTCAGCTCCCCCACAGAGTCCAGGGGCCTCCTGTCCCTCACCTCCTCCACAGAGTCCAGGGGCCTCCTGTCCCTCACCTCCTCCACAGAGTCCAGGGGCCTCCTGTCCCTCACCTCCTCCACAGAGTCCAGGGTCCTCCTGTCCCTCACCTCCTCCACAGAGTCCAGGGGCCTCCTGTCCCTCAGCTCCCCCAAAGAGTCCAGGGGCCTCCTGTTCCTCACCTCCTCCACAGAGTCCAGGGAGCAGCCCAGAGTGGAGCTGGCCCTCCTGACCAGCTTGTTCAGTCTGTTTCTGTCCCGCTCTGTGCTGCCCGGGGCCCAGCACACGGCAGCGTAGTAAATGGCAGAAGCTACCACAGAGTCATAAAAAGTCCTGAGCAGAGGCCTGCTCACTCCGAAGGACCTCAGCCTCCTCAGAAGGAAGAGGCGACTTTGGCCCTTCTTGTGCAGGGCGTTTGTATTATGGGAACCTCCATCATGAACAATAGGGCGGCACGGTGGCTGAGTGGATAGCACTCTCGCCTCTCAGCAAGAAGGTCCTGGGTTCGAATCCCGGCCGGACCAGGGCCTTTCTGAGTGGAGTTTGCATGTTCTCCCCGTGTCTGCGTAGGTTTCCTCCGGGTACTCCGGTTTCCCCTACCACTAAAAATATGTCCAATAGTTCTGGCATGCGCCTCCAGTACTGGCGACCCCGCTCCCATCTGTGTGGAGTGAGAGACAAATGCCCAAAATTAACAATTGTAAACCGCTTTGAGACTCAGATCTGCAGTGAAAAGGCGGTATATAAATACAAACTTACTTACTTACTTACTTACTTACAATAGCTCCCACTGCACAGGACTGTAGAGGAGCTGAGGAGCTCCTTCAGTGGAAGACTGAGACACCCTCAGTGTAGGAAGGAGCGCTACCGCAGGGCCTTTATCCCCACCGCTGTCAGACTGTACAACAAGTCACTTTAAATGATCACTGTGTGAAAACCTGCACTACTATTGACACTGTTTCCAATTGACACTTGTCACTTTTATTGCACATAATTATTGTCACTTTATTGTACATATATATCCTGCATGTAACATGTTTGCACATTTCCTCCTTTTGCACAATCTGAGTGTTTCTATCCATGCCAAATGTGACATGTACATTTCTCCTCTGTGAGATAAATAAAGCACATCTTATCTTATCTTATCTTATCTCTTACAGATAGATAGATATACATATTATATAAAGATAGATAGATATACAGATTATATAAAGATAGATAGATAGACATATTATGTACAGATAGATAGATATACAGATTATATAAAGATAGATAGATAGATAGACATATTATATAAAGATAGATAGATAGATATACACTGCAAAATCCCACTTCCTTAATACTAGATAAATACACTTGTTTTTAGTGAAAATTTACTAGAAACAAGTGAAATTATCTGCCAGTGCAGTAAGTGATTTTTTCTTACCAAGATTTCTTAAAACAAGAATAATATCTAGATCTAAATAAAGCTAAAAATAAGTATTTTACACTTATTCTGAGCAACAAATGAAGACAATTAAATCTCAAAATAAGCCTTAAACACTTATTCTAGGCAACATATCAGGACAAATAAATCTTAAAATAAGCCTTAAACACTTATTCTAGGCAACATATCAGGACAAATAAATCTTAAAATAAGCCTTAAACACTTATTCTAGGCAACATATCAGGACAAATAAATCTTAAAATAAGCCTTAAACACTTATTCTAGGCAACATATCAGGACAAATAAATCTTAAAATAAGCCTTAAACACTTATTCTAGGCAACATATCAGGACAAATAAATCTTAAAATAAGCCTTAAACACTTTTTCTAGGCAACAAATCAGGACAATTGAATCTTAAAATAATCTAAAAACACTTATTATAAGGAACAAATCAAGGCAAATAATCTAAAAACTAGTACATTTAATCATTTTAAAGATTGTTTTATTCCTTAAATTTAGCTAATAAATCCTAAAACTAGTACTTTAAGATTATATTTCTTGTACAGGGCAAATGGAAATAAAACTGAAGCAGAGCATTATCTTTCTCAATGTTTATTTGTACACTTGATTGGTACAATCAACAATCAAAGATTGCAACATCTTTAATCCTCGTGTCTGACCAACTGAACCTTGAGTGTTATAGACACAATGAATGTAACTAATCTCAATGTTTTTTGAAACCTGAAATAAAATGGGCTGACTGGTATTAAAAAAAAAAAAAAAAAAACTGATCTCTGGTCATATGTGCAACTCTCTTTAAACAACAGTGCCACCAGATAAGTGCCCCCCCATAATCTAATCTGAAATCTACATACTACTTTCCAATAAATGCATGGAATTCTGCCAGGGCTTTTCTGTAAGATGATGTAGTGTCACCCTCATGAATGGCATCCTGGAGAACTTCTGTCTGAATGAGACAGCAGGGTTGCCACGCATTTGGGATAAGTCAGATGGAGCGCATAAAAGTATGCCATCACATAAATCATAGCCTCACCAAGTTTTTCTTTATCAAATGTTGTAATTGGCAGATTACCAACTGCAATGACACACTTGCTGCCATCGAACACCACTACTGGACATGGCAAGCTTCGTTTCTGGAGGACAGAATCTGGATCTTCTGTAGGCTGCAAGACACAAAAGATATGGCACACATTTAAAGACAAATAAGAACAAGATTGTAACATGCTATATAAAAACTTGTTTTTGCATAGCCCCTCCCTAATTTTGTGGTAGTGAGTCTGTTGTCCATCTCTTTAACGTAAATTATACAAAATTTACCTTCAGGACATGTAGAAACGCTTGACAAGGAGTCCCCATCTTTTTTGGTGGATGGGCAGGTGAGGGAAAGAGCGTTGGAAGAGCCTTCATCAATGCAAGGTGGGCTTCAGCTGGACACAGCAAAAACAAACCTTCATAAACCTACATTTCAAAGGATGAAGTACTTGGTATTCAAATTTTAATACTTACTTTTGTCCATGGTCATCGGCGGCTTCATTGCCTTCTTTGACACGCCATAGAATTCTACCCTGGAGCAGAATTCCTCCCATCTTAGTTTTATCTGACTTATGAACTTCTTGTTTTCTGGCTCCAAAATTCTGCGCAGCTCACCCAACGCCTAAAAACAGAGGTTTTAAAAATATATACTAATAATAATAATAATAACAACGTAAAATACCACACGCAACACATTTGAAATGTAACCTCTAAACCCCCATTTTAATGGAGCGCATTTTCTCCAGTTTAGCTTTATCCAAATCTAAAGACTTAGCCTAGAGGCCAGTGTAACGCCTCATTTGAAAGCAAAGAACTACACTTTGAACTCCCCCAATAACTTACATGATGCAATTCTTTGAAGCAAGGATATGCATCCAAGATGAGTGACGCTCTGTTCTCCTCCTTCATGGAGTCAGAGTCAATGAAGGCTCTTCTGGCTTCAAACTCGAGGTCTAATAGCTGGGACACATCATCTTGGTTCGGTTTTGGCTTCTTGCACATTTCTTGTAATGTTTTGTAATGTCTTGCTTGTATTAGCAGACTATCCTTGTCAGCTAAGATGGAGAGAGATACAAAAGCATTTCAGTTTTAATAGTTACAGAAATAGACTTATCCACAAACCATTAGCTGTAAACGACTGTGTTGACAACCATTTTACAAAATTACATGTATACACTTACATGAAGTGGAGGCATCATCAGAATTGCTGGCGGGCGATAACAGCAGAGTAGATGCACCACTGGAAGAACTGCAATCAGCATCTTCATCATCAGCTTCTTTATCACTCGGAGAGAGGTCAGTGAGCCTTCTCTTTGGCCGTCCCCTGTCAGGTGTTGGTCCTTGCTTTTTGGTTGGAGTTTTTATATTTTGCAGCCTTTTTTGCAACTTGGCATTAATGCTCTCCTGGTGACAAATACATATATTACATGCTTATTGAACAAAACAAAATGATCTATGAAGGAGACACGAATAAAAGAACTTACATGTTTCACGCTAGTATCCTGATCCTGCAGCATAGGATAATATTCCACAATTCTTTTTGCCATTGCAGTGATTTCGGTCTTAGAGGGGTATCGCTCCATTTGGTCTTTGCTTGCTCTCAAAAGGGACACCATACTTGTGATTGTATTTCTCACCAGCCTGCATCTCAGTTCTTTTGACATGACACATTCATGTTCCCTGCCAGCAAGGGCCAATTCAGAGTAGGTCTTTCGGCATTGCTCCAACTCACTGTCTGTGTAGACAACATATTCCGGAGGACTGGGTAGCTGCAAGGTTTTCAGCGGGCTTTTATACGCATCAGCAGTTCGAGGGCTGGCTGTTGCAACTCTGGGTGAAGTTGTTTCAGGTTTCTGTGGTACAGGATGGTCTTCCTGGTTTACAACGAAAAAAGAATAATGTCAAGTACTGCAAAAATAAAAGAACACCTTCTTGAGATTAGTTTAACTACATATTTGTATACAATACCTCAGGATGAATTATTGACCACACATGTTTTCTTCTGATAAAGTGCTCAGGCCCAGGAAACAGGTCCCTCAGATCATCACGGTTCAATGTTAAAAGCATTCGCTCGTCAATGCTTGCAGCTAATAAAGACAAACGCCAGATGAATTGAACTAGTTCAATATATATACAATATATATACACAAATATATTATATAATCTAACCTTTAAGGATGGATACGGTTACTTCATCCAGTTTCTCCATTGCTCAGTGACCTACAAAACAAAATATGCTTACAAAATATATAATCAACTAACCTGATTCCTGAATAAACTGGGTTGAGCCAACTTTAATCACTCAAATTAATATCAAAATATAAATTTAAACCCAGACCTTGTGAGGGAATTCAAGTAGCCAGGAAATGGGTCAAAGATAAGTTAATACAAGACTGACAAAGGCTAACTTTTCCCTCATCAATATCATAGCTAGAAATCCTACCAATATCAACGTTATAGCTAATTTACTAAATGTTCTCTGAACCATGTGCGACGGCTGCTAAGCTAACGCTAGCATCTGTTAGCATGCTCCATTAGCCATGCTCCCCCGCGAAATTAAATTATTTGTTCTCTCTGCTTGAATTTAAAACAATGATTAGGCTACACACTGCTTGTATATCAAATGTTCCAAATTGCTTACCTCTCTTTCTTGCTGAAGTGTTCTCGTACAGTTTTTCTTTCGACGGTGGCTAAGATCGCCTGTGACTGTGACACAGCAAATTCAAATGGTGTAGGGTAACAACACGAAACACGAAGGGGGTGCACATCTCAATTTTTCCGCCTACATCCAATCAATTAATGTGTGCATTCATAAAACAGTCAGTATAATGTGTAAATCTCTTTTGAATTGATTTAAAATAACTTGCTTTAATTGTTTAATTGTGTCTTATTCAATTACGCACACCCTTTAGGGTAAACATGGTTGATTCCGGGTGATACCACTGGGAGGCTCCTACATACAACATACATTTTTTATTGAATAAATTCAATTGCTTGGTTACTTCTAACTGGGTATATAGTCAAATTATTCATTGAGTGATGTGTATTATTTTATTTTACTTTATTTGTGTCCATTTTATTTAGTTACAGTTTGGATTAAAACCCCATCAAGTTGGTATATGCCAAACTAGCGGTGGTAAAAGTTCCACTTCAGGCTCGAAGACACTGGAGTTGCTTTTGGACTTGACTATCAAAAAAATACACTTTCTGCGCGACTTTCTTGCAATACAATGGCCTGCTGGAGGTGCGTTATTTGTTTCGTCTTTGTTGCATTAACGCTGAAGTCTCTTTTAAGTCATATCAATACTGCACACAGTCGCAGTCCGGATTTCCGTGTTATTTGTGGAGTAGATGGATGCGCCGAGGAATACCGCGTTTTCAACTCTTTTTACTACCATCTCAGGCGCACACATCCACAATACTTCGCCACAGGGAACCCTCCTAGAGGTTGGCTGACGGCTTCATTCGATGCAGATGTGTTAGGACATGAAACGTTTGGTACAGCCATTTTTGCCGACTATACTACCGAAGCAAGACAAATTGATAGCAATGGCAATGCCACTGAAGCACAGCCAGAGTCACTGTCAGAACTCTCAGATGGGTCGGCTATGTTGGAGCAGGAGCTACAGGAAGGTCAGAATTTGATGGAGAAAGACCCAGCTGAGGTTCAAACACCGCGTCAGAATCAGGTAATGTACTTTGTGTGTGAGTGTGTGTTGTGTTTGTTTGCCTTCTCATCACTTTCTAATAGTATTTTTTTTCCGTGTGTTTATTGTGTTTCTGTCGCCCCCGCTTCTTTATTATTATTATTATTTTTTTTTTTTTTTTAACTTTAGTATCACTTTTTTGTTGTACAGTACTTTCATCCTCGTGTTTCTTTACTATTTTGACGCTTTTTTCAATACGTTTTTAGATTTGGGTAATGCCAAACTGGAGAAAATGTGCTTGGTTCAGGTGGGGGTTAAGGGATTAAAGTTGTGTGTTTTTTGAGACAAGCTACTTGATAAGAATAATTAAATAGGTATAACGTTTTTAGTATAAGAATGCCAGTATTGAAATGCAAATGCAGGAATCTGCTGAAACTCAGATTTGGAAAGCAAAGTAGGCTTAGTTACAATACTTAATGCCGATTTGGCATCTTTAAAGTAGACCTTTTTAAGATAATTAAACAGAAATTAATTCATTATTTACTGGTGTTGTGTACCTGACTTGGGTGTGGTTGGATGCTCCATGAACTTGAGCTTTCAACTTAAGCTTGCTTTTTCTTTCAATTAACTCCAGAGTAGATTCCATAAAGATTGAGGTTTAATTAAATAAGTCGTACATTTTTCACAAAATCTGCAGCTTGACTAGATATGCCTCCTCGTAGGAATTTTGAAATAGCAAAAAGATACAACAGTTGGGTGTATTTATTTATTTTTTTGCTTTTTTTTTCACATTCTGAGTTACTTATTTTTCTTACACAATTGTCTTCTTTTTTACCTGTAGGGTGGAAGAGAAACTGTTGATCTTGCCAGATGTGCAGCTGCATTTGCTATTGGTGTGCGTGAGCAATGCCACCTATCACAGGTACCGTTTCATCTAATAATAGGGGGGTGTCATTGTTAATTTGAAAAAAGTGGACAATTCTTAAGTCTAGTTCACTGGAATTAATAATTGATTATAACAATAAAGCATTTTATCATTATTATTTTACTACAAATAAATAATATTGACATAAAGTTCACACTCCTCAGAGGTCACTCTTGCATTAAGTTTTTACATTTATATAGGGCTGGGCGATTAATCGATTTTAATCATTAATTCGAGTTATACGTTTAGGGCGATTTCTTTTTTTAAAAATTCGATTTTTATTTTCTCCAGCGCAGAACTACAGCGCTAACGCGCTAACCGCGGGTCTATGGTGTTGAGCAGTTATTTTGAAGCTAACCTAATGCTAACAGTCTCCCTCTGGCCTGAGGCTCGCTCTCACAGTTGGTGCTGTTGCAATAACACTTCAAACGTTCAAGAATCAGACTTTATTTAATCGCCAAAACACACACACACAGGCTCCGGTCGTACGCCACATCTTTCACGCTTTCTCATGCTCGTTATTCCAAAGCGCACTCCCGTGTCCGTGGCGCGCACACACTCGTGTCCCACTGAGCCGCTGCACTTTGGGGAAAGACACGTCTCACACATTGCTCTCATTGCTCTGATACAAACAACGTGTTCCCCGCTGTCCGCTATCTACAGTAGCTGCTAGCTACAGTAGCTGCTAGCTACAGCATCAGAATGTAAACAGGAAGCTCGCACAATGCGGGAGTCACTGAAGTTAGTATTAGCGCCACCAGCTGGACCGAGCGTTGTACTACAGCACAGTTACTCAGGCACAGTTGAAAGAACAAGCATGAAAACCCGAGGAGGCTTTTGGAAAATACTGTCTGTTACAACATTTCTATTTTGAGTAATCAGTTTTAAAAATGTGATATTTCATGTAAATAATGCATGTGTTTAATAGGATTGATATATTTGCGATGGGCCTTGTTTGTGTGATTTAAGTTATTTTGAAGGTGCATAGTGTCATTGTAAGTGAAGTTATTATAAAACTGTTAAGCTACATTTTCACTGTTTACAATGGCAGAGCCATCTCGTTTATAAGCATGTTTTAAGGCTTAATTCCTGTTACACTTATGCTCCATGGGGATTTAGATTGAACTGCATAAAGGAAAATCTATTTCTTTGTCAGTTGTAGTTTGTTTTTAAATAGAAAAAAATAAATCTATTAAAATCGAAAATCGGATTTGGTGTAAAAAAATCGGAGATTTTTTTTTTTTGCCATATCGCCCAGCCCTACATTTATACCATGTACTCAAATACCTAGTGCAGAACCACAATCAATCATTATTAATTAATACTAATAAACAATATTTTAGGTTATAACTTGATTACATTTCATTTATTTGAGCTGAAGCCAGTCATTGAGTATTGTATTTTTATGTTTTCATGTCTCTGATGTTGTTGTTTTCTTTTGTTTTTTGTTTCTTTTTTCATTAGAGGAGTGTCAACAACATTGTCCTTGGTGTCCAGCAATATCAAACAGCTCTTCTGACGTCCTTGAGAGAAAAAATGAAGACCATCCTTGAAAGACATCCTGACAGCAATGGACCTTTACAAGAAGAAGTTCTTTCAACACTGGACAACTTTCAGGATCCCTTTCCGCTATGTGCAACTACAAACCTACAGGACCGAGCAACACAGATGCATTTTAATCCCGTTACACCTGAGGAGATCATCATTTCCAAGTATGCCTGTAGAGTTAAAAAGGGAGAATCTAGAGTTCTTGCAATCAAAAACAAGTCTTTCTACTACATCCCTCTAATTGAAAGTCTAAAACAGTTATTATCCAATTCAAGACTATTTGACATGCTCCGTTCTGGACCTCAGAGTTGCCCCAAGGCCAGTTTTTTGTATGACATCAATGATGGAAGAATTTTCAAAACCCACCCACTGTTTTCGAAAAAGAATTCTGCTTTACAACTGATACTGTACTCCGATGAGATAGAAATTTGTAACCCCCTAGGGTCACGTGCAAGTGTAAATAAATTACTAATGTTTTATTACACTTTAGGCAACATAGACCCAAAGTTTAGATCAAAGTTGGCTTCAATCAGACTTCTCGCAATCGCAAAGTCTAAGGACATAGATGAGTGTGGTGTAGATATTATTCTACGGAGAATAGATGAAGACTTGAAGTTACTGTACAATGGCGTTAAGATTAACACTGTGAATGGGGAATTTTATTTAAATGGAGCAGTTGTTGCTGTGTGCGGAGACACTCTTGCCCAGCATGAGCTTGCAGGATTTAAGGAAGGAGTCGGTTTTGCATATAGCAAATGTCGTCATTGTGAGTGTACTTTTGATGAAATGCAAGCAAATTTCAATGAACAGAGTTTCACCAGACGGACATTGGACGGACACGTTAGGCAGTGCATTGAAATAGAAAGGGCAACTACAGAATTCTTAAAATCCTCGCTCAAAACGACTTTTGGCATAAATAGACAAAGCAAGTTGGTTGATTTCCCAGGTTTTGATCTCATAGAGCAAATGCCACAGGATATTATGCATATAATTCTTGAAGGAGTGGCACCAATGGAAATGAAGTGTGTGTTGAAATACCTCGTTTTATCTGGAAATTTGGAGTTGGACAAGTTTAATTCTGCCATGCAA